AAAGACTTGTCAGAACTCTGGGGCCAGAAAGAAATTCCAATGGAGAGCCGGAGAGAACTCACATGAACTCAGTGGGAGACATTCTCTCAGTCTACTATAGCACATGCCCCCAATGTTTTCCCCCCAAGACTGGCAAAGGCACTTCTAGAATAGGGATGTTTATATTGTCATTGGGAAATATTGAACAGCATCATCTGTGACACTAATAATCTCATATTTAAACTTCCATGATAGGTGTCTGTGGTTTTATTTTATAAAGTGGTAGATGAAGGTGGTGTTGACAATGCTGAAGCCAAATTCCAATTAGCTGACACTTATTAGGCACTCCCTGTGTTGTGTTCTAGTTACTTCAATGCATTCTCGGATGTCCTCATCACCTGAGATGGTTGCAAGCACTATCTTCCTGTTGTGCAGATTGAGAATCTGAGGTATGTGTTACGGAACCCCCAAATTTGGGGCAGTCAGCCAAATGCTAACACATCAGTGCTTGGGAGCAGAGAAAGTTTTATTTGATTTATCCAAAGCAAGACAGTGGTAGAGACAGTGTCTTAAATCAGACCTGCCTTGGGACATAACTAAAGATTTCATTATGAGTAAGGTAGGTATGTGGGAGGTGGAATTCCCCAATAATCAAAGCTGTTTGCATTCCTTGACCTGGCCTGATCCAACTACTGAATGTAATCAAGGAGGTCTGCTTGACCAAAGGATCACTGTTCTTTAAAAGAAAAACAAGTCCTGACTTACTAAATTACTAGTGACTACCCTCTACTGAAATAACTACACACAAGCAAGCATACGTGGAGGGAGAAAAGGATAAGAAAGAAAAGGAAAATAAGTAAAACAAACATCTCACGATTTTTATAATAAAGCACTCAGTAGCTCTAAGTATTAAGGTACTAAAGTACTTGTTCAAGCTCACGAAGATTATAAGTGACTGTAGGGAAGGAAGGAACTAGAGCCCTTTGGGCCATGCACCTGTACTGCATCGCTGTGAGTATTGGCTGCCAGTCACTCACAGCTGCCCCATTCTCTGGAGAATCACACTCAGCCAAGGCAAAGCCACTTGAGCTAAAATTGTGTCTCCTGGGGAGTGGAAGGATTCTGACTGACTGATGAGATATTGTTCCCTTGCCCCAAAAGTGGGCCCAACTCTATAATTCAGTTCTGGGTCCAGAGCTCCTCATGCAATCATACTGAAGCCAGGCTCCATGGAGACCACATTTTCACTTATCATTTTCCTCCTGGTCTATGTAGATCCTCTCATACTTCTCCTCAGAATGCTCTCTCAGGAAATCATGGGCACCAGAATCGCAGTCTCAGACTCTGCTCTCAGGAAACTCCACCTAAAAACAACAGAGGCCGAGACAGAGTGAATCTATGCACACTGGCATTCACCTGAGGGCACATAGGTGCTGGAATCCAGTCCAAACTCTGTGTGCCAAGCTATGCAAGGGAGATGTGCTTCTTCATGTGCCCAAAGACATTGATTGATCTGGACTTGGTCTCGTCCCAACTTCAGGGCCCAGGCTCTCAATCACTATGTGGTGTCTCTTATACCAAATGAGCAATACCAAACAGTAAGACTAAAGTGAGAGAAAGAAGAAAGCTGTACAACCCAAAAGGTGCCTGTGTGTCTGTTCCTTCCACCCCAAACAATTGCAGATTCATAGAAGATTTGTCCAAGGAATCATTTTTTGAACCATCTGAGAGTTAACTGCCAACCTAGATATCCTGGAAATGAGGATATTCTCCTACCTGACCACAAAATGACCATCAGCATCACTTAGGACTTCCTGATGTCACTGCCTCTTATTTCTCAGACTCTATTCAAGCTCCTCCAGGTGTTGCAATAGTGTCCTTCAGAGCATAAGGGCCCATTCCAGGTGTGGTGTTTAGTTGTTATGTATTTTTAGTTTCTTTAGTCTGGAACACTTGTCAGTTCTGTTTTTGGCTTTCATGACCTTGACTCTTTTGAAGATTCCTACCCAGTGACAGACCAGGAGTAGAATATTCCTCAGTCTGGATTTGTCTGATGCTTTTTCATGTTTTTTTTTTCAAGTTTGCCTCCTTGTCTGAAATACCACAGAAGTGGCACTGTATTCTTCTCACTGTGCCCTCTCAGGTGTCCCACCATCAACTTATCTAATTCCTGATGATGTTCACTTTCATCAAGGGTTATCTTCCAGCTTTCTCCACTATAAAATTATTCTCTCTCTCTCTCTCTTTCTCTGTCTATTTGCAGACACAGAATCTGGCTCTGTTGCCCAAGCTGGAATGCAGTGTGCAATGATAACTAACTGTGGCCTCCAATTCCTGGGCTCAAGAAATCCTCTCATCTAAGCCTCCTAAGTAGCTGGGACTACAGGTATGTACCAGCACACCCAGCCACCATGCCTGCCTACTTTTTAATTATTTATTTTCAGAGATGAACTCTCACTATGTTGCCCAGGCTTGTCTCAAACTCTTGGCCTTAAGCTATCCTCTTACCTTGGCTTGACACGTTGCTGAGATTATAGGCATGAGCCACTGTTCCTTGCTTCCTTTTTGTATATACTGTAATGAGTATTTTGTCAGTAGTACTATGAAACTGTGTATCTTTATGAAATTTTCAATTGATTCATTTATTTATGTATATTTATATATACATGAGTATTTATATATGTACTCATGTTTTCCTATTCTCATTAAGTTATAAAATCTTTATTTATTACAATGACAAAATTGTCCCTGATTTTGTCAGTAGAAACCTCTCAGCCTGGCTTCTATATTTTTCTGATATGTCCCTATCATTTTTTAGCATTTTTTTGCTTCCTGGCACAACAAAGTATCCTAGACTCACCCTGCACTTTCTTAGCCTGGAGTCAGTCATTTCTTTAAGGATCCCTAGTTCCTTACAGTGGAAAATAGTATTCATAAACCAAGATCTGGGCCCTAGGTGTATTCACTGATATTGAAATGTTATTGTTGCCTAGATCTATCAGTGAAGAGAAGTAGGGAACCTATGTTTTTATATATATACCTATATCTGTCTATCGATCGATCGATCTGTCATCACCTATAATCTACTATCTATTATCTATCTTCTATTACTACCAACTATCTATTTATCTATCATATATCTACCTATCAATCACCTATCATAACCTATAATCTACCTATCATCTACCTATTATCTACTATCATCTACCTGTCATCTATTATCTATTATTTGTCTCTATTATCTATCATCTATGTATCAGCTATTACTATCATCTGCCCATCATCTATATATCATCACCTATAATCTACCTGTCATCTACTATCGATCATCATTTATCGATCTATCATCCATTATCTATCATCTGCCTATCGATCGATCTATCTATCTATCTATCTAGAAATGTCTGAATTTGCAGTGATAATTCCATCCCAGTCTGACTCAGCAGGGTTCATTTCAGTTCTCTTCCCTTCTGAATCAGTGACTTCCTGCTCCTACAGTGAGAAGTCTGGCTTCCGTCATCCTTAATATATTTACTTTTCGACCAACCCCTTGGATGTAGCCACCCCTCACCCCTCCCCACCCTCTGATGCCCTCCTTACCTCCATGGGCTCTCCACATTCTGTGTAGGCTCTGGCTACTCTTTCCAGTCGCCCTTCTGAGTGGACTCTTCTCCCCTTGCTTGGGCTCCCACACCCAGGACAGGCAGCCCCTCTGTATGGAAGCCTTCCCCACCCTTCATGATTTCTGACTTGGAACCACCATGATTCACTCCTGTACCTTAGTGTGTGGCCACCACCTTGCTTCCACTCACATAATTGCCTCCTTGACTGAAATACCACAGAAGCGGCACCGTGGTATTTCAGAAAGGGAATTATTCAGAAAGGGAAGGGAAGGGAAGCAGCAGAAAAGGAAAAGGAAGAATGTTGTGCAGCTTCTGATACCAGATGAAACTAACAAGTCTTGTTGCCCAATTTACCAATCAACTATTTTTCACTCTGTGTTCTTCGTGCTAAGACAGTTGGGAGTTGAAGATGAAATACAAGAAGTATGACAAAACAAGTATCCCGCATTCCAGAAACATCAGGAGAGATGAGATAAAGCATTAAATCAAAACTAACAACAAGTACCTTGACTGAATGTTACAAAAATATGAGTTCAAAAAAGGTGAAATGAAACTATGGATGCACTTTCCTTTTTATTTTATTTTATTTTATTTTAAAGATGTGTGGTACAATTCAGGGTTAGGTATACAAGTGGACATCGTACAGGTAAAGTTTGGGGACTCGCTTGGGTCCCTGCTTTGCCTGGTTTGAGATCAGGTTTTGTCCCTTATTGATGTTTTGTCCCTTCTGCCTACTCCGGCAGCATCCTGCTATTGCCAACCCCTTTCTTATAGTATTATGGTAAATGTTCAGGGTCCACTTATGAGTTGAGAATATGGGGTACTCAGTTCTTTGTTTCTGTGATAGATCACCGAGTATGATCGACTCTCAATTCATCCAAGTTGCTGCAAAGTCCATATGTTTGTCCTTCTTTATGGCTGCATAATATTCCATTGTGTATATGTACCACATTTTAATAAATGTGAATGTACTTTCTAGCAATGGGCAAAGTTATCATAGATTGACTGTTACCTATGTCAGTAATCAAATTGGAGTTCTGAACAAGGCCCGCACAATGTGATTATGATGATTGAAATATTTAGTTGTGGGTTCTCAGCCATTCAGTTCTATAGATATCTCCTTAATGTGCATGAAAGTATCAGGCAACACTTTTGTAAAGAGTTTGTTTTCTGTATATAAAACTAATTACAGAATATTACAAATAAAACGTCATTACTAAGATCACCACAGTACTTCTCGTTTTCATTAAAAATTGTGGATAAAATTGTTGAGAAATGTTAATTCTCTGATCAGAGCTCAGGAGGAGTAACTGGGGGTGTGGGAGATAGTCCTCTGAGCACCAAAGAAGCTGAGTCTATCTATCTGGCACCGAGTCACCTCCTTTACATTACATGATATATAACACACAAACACTGAGAGCGCTCAGTGAATATACAGAATCCCAAATTATTTATCCAGCATACTGGAATAAGCACATCTTCATTTATGGATTGTATGAATGAAGTAAATTGAGTCCTGGTGTTCTGGAATACAGCTTTCTTGAAGAACAAGAAGTTCTTAGGGAAAGTCAGGCTCCACTTATGGTCCCATCTCTTGACTCGATCCTTAGAACAATGGGTTTTTCAGGATGAAGAAGCCCTTTGGTGCCTAGTTTCATGGGGATCTGAAACAATTCGAAAAGCACATTGAGAAGCAATCAATATAGCAAAAGAAGAAAAGATAGAAGCAAAGTAGGATATGTACATTAAGGATAATAATACAAACATATAAAACTACTTCAGCACCATGTATCTTGGATTGTATATACTTATTCTATAAGCTTTGTGAGGGCTGAATAGTGAAAGCATTTCTCTCTCTGTCATTTTACAAAATATTTATTGAGCAGCTATTCTTTCCCAGACCTGAGACAAATACATGTTGACTTGTGTTCTTTTTTTATTTTACATTTTTTTTTCAGTCAGAGTCTCACTCTGTTGCTCAGGTTGGAGTGCAGTGGCCTGTTGGGCTCTGGCAATCCTTCCACCTCAGCCTACCAAGTAACTGGAACCACAGGCGTGTAATTTATTGTAGACATGAGATCTTGCCAAGTTGCCCAGGCTGGCCTTGAATCCCTGGGTTCAGGCAATTCTCTTGCCTCTGCCTCTCAAAATACAGGGACTACAGGCGTGAGCCACCATGCCAGCCCTTGATTTAAATTTTAAGTAAAAAGAATGAGTTTTAAAAATTTAGCCCAAGTGTTTTTAGCATTATGGCAAACTATTTTGAAAGCCATGTAAAGTTATTTTTGTGTATGTTGAAACTTGCAGGTTAATCCTGAATAGATATTAAACATTTTAATTGTATGGGGAGTCCTCGACTTCCAAAGACTCCAGTAACCCCTGCCATTTGAACCTATCTATTGTAATGATGGGAAGAGGCTTTCAGGAAGCATTATACTTTCATTTAACATCTTCTCTTGGCTTTCAAATGGGGGAACTTCTTAAGTTCTATCGTGTCTTGACTAGTACTTTTTTTTTTTTTTTTTTTTTAGTCAGAGTCTCACTCCGTTGTCCAGGCTGGAATGCAGTGACACACTCACGGCCACCTCAGTGTCGACCTGCTGGGCTCTGGTGATCCTTTCACCTCAGCCTTCCAAGTAGCCGGAACTACAGGCACACACTACCATGCCCTGCTAATTTTTATGTATTTATTGTAGAGATGAGGTCTCGCTGCGTTGCCCAGGCTGGTCTCGAAGCCATGGGCTCAGGCAATCCACTTGCCTTGGCCTCCCAAAGTGCTGGGATTGCAGGCTGAGCCACCGAGCCTGGCCTTGACTAGTACTTTTAGCCCCACTCTTACTGAGCACTCCTTCAGTGTTGAGGACCCACCAGCTAAGCAATCTTCTGATTTTAGTTGGGTGATGGGCAAACAAATTGCCATGGAAACTGAGAAGTGGCAGCCTATAGATGCTTGGTAACTTGCCAAAGGAGTATCTTCCCATCCCAGGTGTGCCAGAGGCCGGTTTCTCTCAGGGTTGAGCCCCTATCTATATACACAGGGCTGGCATGCTGGCTCACGCCTGTAGTCTCAGCACTTTAGCTGACCTAAAGTCACACCATCTCTATCCTTCTCCTATTTCATGCAGAAAGCCTACTTCGGGGAGGAGTTGCTTATTAAATGCATGAATTATAAGAGTTACACCTCTTATAGGGCCTCACTTGATATAAATAAATGATAACTGTTCTTTAAATTCTTCAGAGAAACATTCCAAAGCTTTCTATAAATGTAATACTGTATTATTTTAAAATTTCAAAAGGCATGAATAAGTTTTCTCTGAAGATAGACACACAAACACACACACACACACATACACACACACACAAATGCCACATGTTACATTTTAAAATTAAATAGCTTAAGATTTTCATCCAGGAACTCCACGTCAATGCATATCACTCCTTAAACACTTGCCAAATGCTTGGAATGGACAATGTACCCTGCAAGGCCCTACTGAGATTTTATAAGAGGAATAAAATGAGTTGATACAGTTAAGGGAGGCTGGAAGACATTCTTCGATACAGAGAACAAAACTGGATGATTGAATGACAAAGTATGAAATTAGGTGATGACAACAGCCTGCAGTAATCAATAATAGAGCAGAGGAGTGAATGGGCCCTGGTCTAGACGGGGAAGAACTTGTGGATTGAACTAGGACTTGAAAAATGAGAAAAAATGAGGAGTAGAGAGTTCCTAGAGTTATTGTTGGGTTGAAAAGGAACCCAGCTTTCTTAGAGCACCTGGAAAGGGAGGTTAGACAGGATGACCATAGACTGTGAGAGTCCTTTATTTCTGAAGGAAATGCCTTAAGTTAGTGCTTCTCAACCTTGGCTTTACATGAGAATGAATTGAATGGGGGGAGGGGCTTTAAAAGCCACATTCTGGGTAAATTATTTTAGAATTTCTGAGATGATCCAGGTATCACTAATTTTTAAAGCTCTGTGGTATGGCTAGTGGTTTTGAAAACACAAATCTGCAATGTCGTTATTACTTTCTCCAAGTTAACATTTTTTTCCTTAATATAATCAAATATTAAGGAATCAAACTTGAATAGAACACAGGGTCTAATGTTCAAGGATTTATGGCTTAGTGGAACAGATAGACAAGGAAAGCAACCATGGTACTACGATGTCTCAGGAGAGCTTGCGTAAGTTCTGGCAGAGGAGAGCACCCTTCAGAAGTTATGACGAGGAAATCATTGCACTTTATGATTGGATTGTGCAAAACACTTCCACATTTCTCCAACCGACTTGAAACTGAATTTAAACTTTGTCCAATTTCAAAGAGACTGCACATAATCATGTCATGCTAATCTGAATTGACCTTAAATGATATTTATAGTTGTCTTTATAAAGCCACAGGTTTTGACCTCCAGAACTGAAGTGCCCTTAAAGATCATAGATGGCACTTAGATTATTTGGCCCATAATAGCAAACTATTAAAAGAACAGGCATATTATTCTTTATGTAGACCTCTCAGTTAAGATAAACCTCAAATAAAATATTACTTATGTAGAAAGTGCACTGACCTGTGTTTCTTTACAGGGTTTGAAGGAGAAATTCTGCAGTACTCTGACAAGGGCAAGTTTCATGTTCATGAGAGCAAACCTCATGCCAATGCAGTTCCGGGGTCCAGTTCCAAAGGGCAGGTATATGTAAGGATCTATGCTGTCCTTGTTCTTCTTACTGAACCTGGTTACACAATAATAGATGAAAAAAAGTTAAATTTAAAAAACCACAAAAACTACATGTTAGGGGTTCTTACTTAGATCCCTCCCCAACCCAACAAGTAGTAAACAAAATTCTTCTGTGGGCTGGCCTTTGGAATCCTGCTGTAGTTCTTTTTTCTATGGGAATTGTAAGCTACAGATCCTTTCCATTCTCCTTACCCTTTAGAACTCTCAGTTTTTTTTGAGATGAGATTAATACTGTTTAAAATAATATTTATCTCTAAACACTAAAATTATATTCAGGTTGGCAATGTGTTCACACTTTGAAGGACACATAAATTATGTGACTGACTGATTGAAAAGTAGGGTCCTGCCTTAATTCACAATTATGTTGGTCATATGTTCATTGAGGAAGGAGGAGAAAATGTCTCACGCTATTTAAATTGTTATTTAAATTGTTTCTTTCTCATCTCCTCTTCTCTCTTTTCTTTCTAATTCTTTTCCTTCTCCTTCCCCTACTCTTCTTCTTCCTTCTCTCTCTCCTCTTCCTCCCACATCTCCTTTTTGTTCTTGCTCAAGTTCAATTTCTCCCTCTATTTATCCCCACCCCCCACTCCCATAGAAAAGTTTAAGTCAGATAATTTACATGGGCATAGGATGCTACTCTGCTGTAGTATTATTACTGCTTCCTTGTCTATCTGTTCTACTAGCTATAAGTTCTTCGAAGATTAAGCCCCTGTTTTATTCAAACTTGTTTCCTCAATATTTGGTTATGTTAAGAAAAAAAAATGTTGATTTGGGAAAAGTGATACTGACATTGTGGTCATTGTTTTTAAAAGGGTCTTTGTATTTTGGAGAACATTCTGAAATATTTATAGGTGATTGCTTCAACATAACAAGGTAGTCAGGGGGAGGATTATGGTGGAGTGTGGATGATGGTTGGGGCAGGTGATGGGCGCATGAAGATGTATTAGAAGTATTCTATAGGCTTGTGTCTATAGAATATATTCATGTATATGTCAAACATTCTTCACAATAAACATTGTTACTTTTTTTTGACGTTTGGATCTCTCACTGTCTGGACCAGTCCCTGACACATAGTAAGCACTTACTATATGTGTGGTAACTGAATGAATCAAAGAGAAGTGCAGTGAGTGGTCTGATTCTGTGTTGGTTCAGCTCCAGGAGATGGAAGTGTTGAGGTGGCAGAAACACAAGTGTCCTCTGCTCCAGAAAACAGAGGACTCTGATTTACTCTTCTAACAAGTACTATGTGCAGAGTCTATGGTAGGTAGCACTAGGGATACCACAGCCAATAAGACCCAAATCCCTACTACTGGAAAATTTGTAGTTAGGGGCCAATAAGATTCTAGATCCCAAGCCTCTTGACTGACCAGCTAGTGCCCTCAAAACTTAAATTTCTCTTGCGAATAGTGGGAAAACATCAACTATTTCCAGTGTAAAAACTGTGCCCAAAGCCTAACTTTGGCTCTGAATTCCCAGGAGAACATGCCTAAGACCCCTCCAAGGAGGAACGTCTGAGGTATCTAGAGAGCAGATGACTTTGCTTTGGAAGAGTCCCCAGTTACTGAAACTATAAGGGAGCGGGGACAGGACTGCAGCCACAGACAGGACGAGGAGGAGCTGCCTCTCCTCTGCCAATGAAGTGGCTTAAATCATCAGGGCTGAGAGCTTCTCAGAACCTCAGCCTGTACTTTTATAATTACACTAGAGGAAATAGCAAGTGTTGGGAAAAAATGGAATGTGAAGACATCTCCTGACGTTAATTGTAAATTCAAAGAGCTCAAGAGAACACAGAAAAATGGGAAGGAATAAAAACCCTATACACCTATACAATAGCAGTCAAATGAATTATGGTATATGTATTATATATGCACACACACACACACACACACACACATATGTATATATACACACACATGCACATATGCACATATATATATAGTGACATAGGTTAGTGGAGAGTTTATGGTTTACTGTTAAATAAAGTAAGCAGGAATTTAAAACCAATTAAAATGTGATACCATTCAAGTTTGAAAACATCTGTATATACATAGAAAAATACCCACAAGGCCGTAATTAATGAGACTTATCTTAAGACATTGGAACTGTGGGTGGCTATAGTTTTCTTTTTTCTAGTCTATGGTTTGTAAAGTTTGACAATGATCACTTTTGTGATTAAAAACATTTCTGAAAATAAAATAATGGTACAACTACATGATTGTCATGTACATTAACAGATGTCAGAATATGCCTAAACCAGCCTGGCTCAGGGTAGGTTCCTTTCCCAGGGCCTTGTACCTTTCAGGGCGGAACTCCTCAGGCTCTGTCCAGTACTTTGGGTCTCGGTGAAGAGCATAGGTTGGTATCATCACCACTGTTCCTTTGGGAATGAACAGTCTATTGATTTCAATGTCTTTCTTACAGACCCTCTCGATTCTGATAGCAATTGGGAATAGTCTGAGAGTTTCATTCACCACCATGTCAAGATACTCCATCTGCATCAGGGCATCATAGGTGGTGGGTGCCTGGGAAGAAATAAACAGATTTGGATAAACAGAGATTTGGAATTAATGTTCAACTCAGTCCATGTAGTAGTACTGAGTAATTGGAGCTTCAGAGAATAATTCATACTGGTAAAGGATCTTAGCATTTATAAGACAGTTTAATAACTATCATGTTCTTGACTTTCTCTATAACCCACTGAGATATGTGAAGAATTTATGAATGTGGGAGAAATTTGGGACAATCTCCTCCCCGGGAACTGAAATATTTAGTATTACCATGTAGTACTTTTTCTTTCTCGTGTAAGCAAACATGACTAATAGACTATGACCATGAGAATCAAGTAAAATTTGCCTGTCACTGTTGTCTTTCAAAAGATAGGCCATGGCCAGGTGTGGTGGCTCAAACCTGTAATCCCAGCACTTCAGGAGGTCAAGGCGAGAGGATTACCTGAGCCCAGGGATTCGAGACCAGTCTGGGCAACTTGGTGAGACCTTGTCTCTACAATAAATTAAAAAAATTAGCTGGGTGTGGTGGCGCATGCCTGTGATTCTAGTTACTTGGAAGGCTGAAACAGAAGGGTCACCTGAGCCCAGCAGGTCGAGGCTGCGGTGGCTGTGAGCATGCCACTGCAGCCTGGGCGACAGAGTGAGACTCCAACTCAAAAAAAAAAAAAAAAAAAAAAAAAAAAGAAGGGTTATACGTATGTACCAAGAAAAGAGAACATGTAAAAGAGAAAAATCCTCTATTCTGTATGAGATTTTTTTAGTTTAAAATTTTGCTCGGTAACTCTTTTGATTATATGAAGGGAGACCTCCTCAAAACCTGATATTTATTTATTAAAAGTTGTGTATTTTTTCTTACATGTTAAACTTCAATCACCTTCAAAGTACTCTCCAGTTGATGCAATTCACCTATTGAGATGCTTTTTCCACTGCTCAAAACAGTTTTTGAACTTGTCAATTTTGATGCCTATTAGTGCTTCTGCTGTTTTTTGTTTCACCTCTTCTGCATCAGCAAAACGTTTCCATTTGAGGAATTTTTTTAAACAAAAAAATCACTTGAAGTGAAGTCAGTTAATACAGAGGGTGGGACATGGGGGTAAAAAAACTGCTGAACACTCAGCACAGTGTGAATAGGTGCACTCCATAAATCACCCATCATGAAGTGGGAAAACATGCTAAAAGAATCTAAAAAAAAAATCACTGAAGTCAAATGCAGCCTCTCATAACACTAGTTGGTACACTGATGCTGATAGGTTCCTAGAACGGTTACCTACCAGAGGAAGCCTGTATTACAAGGTGTCTACCCTCCAAAAGATAATTCTTGTTTTTCGGGTCCCCCCTCATACACACACACACACACACACACACACACACACACACACACACACACACGTGCTAAAAAATATATACACATTTTATGAATAATAATCTTGGGATGAAAACTCTCCATTTTACTGTTTTAAGAGTGCATCGTATGGTTGTTCTATTAACTCCTGTCTCATATGCACATTGTTTGGTAGACTTTTGTGGCAAGTGCATAAACTGTTTTAACACTGTAGCAGAAGAAGCAGGACTTGTTGCTGTGTGAGGCCTCCTGGATCTTTGCTTGTGCATATCACACACAGTACCGTGTGTGATACTTATCATGAATGTGTGCAATGGTTAGGCATGTTGGAGGTTCTGTTGCATACTCATGCCTCCATTGTAGCTGTACTTCCACGGTGTTCTCAAGTTTCAAATATCACTTCAAAGTGGTCTTGTGCTCCTTGAATGACAACTACGCTTCTGTCATTTTCTTCGACTATTCTGGCTGTTGCATGGTGACACTAGCATTCATTTGATTAACACTATCTTATGAGTGAACGTCATACTACACATTGCTACCGTAATTAAATTCAACTTCAAAAAGTAATACAAAGATAGCATCTCTTAAAATGCGTTCACATATTTCTGGCATCCCCAGTGTATGTGTGTGTGTATAATTGTTAGGTATGTATATGTGAGAAATGCTACGTTATATAAAAACTCTATAAGTAATTTGTAGATAAACTAGATCCTTTCTATTCCAAATATGACAAGATAAGTTTGCGAATGATACCAGGGTATACAATTTTAGTTCTAGTGCAAGTTATAAAGAGGGTAGGAACCCCACACTCAGCCCCTTCCTCTCTTGTTGGGACAGTCTCCTACTTGTTGCTTCAGCTCTGAAGAAGATCCCTTTGTGTTCAACTCACTGCCACACTAGTATTAGCTCTGGAGGTGATCTCTTCACATAACAAAGAATCCTAGTTTGAACAGAAATGTGGAAACGATGTGGGAGATAAATAGCTAGCACTTACTATTATATTTGGGAGGCGATATTGTAGAAGTTAAGAGTCTGGTCCAGGAGCCAGTATCCTAGTTCCTAGCTTGGTTTCTTCACTGCTAGCTGCATGACTGGAGGCTGAGACAGATGTGGAGTTGAGCTATCAGCCTGCTCAGCACACCCAAGGCCAGACTTGATCAGACAGCAGCTAGACCAGAGCGAGTCCAGTCAATATCAGCAGAGCTGACTACCCAGACTCTTAAGTAGTAAATGTTATTGTTAGATGTCCTGAGGTTTTGGGATTTTTTTTTACTTGGTATTATTGTGGTAAGATATAAAACATGTACCAGGACCAGCACTGTTTTAACAAGAACCTATATTTCTAGTTTTTTTTTTTTTTTGGTGACAAGTGGCTATTTGTACACACACACACACACACACACACACACACACACACACACACACACACACACACATTAGAGATAAGCTATCTGTTGCTCAGGCTGGAGTGTACTGGTACAAACATAGCTCACTGCAACCTCAAGCTCTTGGGCTCAGGTTATCCTCCCATTTCAGCATCTTAAATAGTTGGGACTACAGGAAGATATTCTGCGAGTAGCATTCATTACCTGTGTTTCTTCCTTTGTTTTTCTTCCTAGAGCCCTCCTAAATAGTGTCAGTGAAAGAATCAATGCTTACACTTTTTGCAAAACTTCTCCTGGGATATAGTTAGGAGGCATTCTTGCTAATGCTTCATCTCTTCCTTCCCACTCTGTGGATCACTCACTCACCTTATTGGGAAAAGTTCTGTCAATCTCTTCCTGTAGTTTCTGCTGGACATCTGGGTGAGTGGCCAGTTCATACATAATAAATGATAGAACACTGCTTGTGGTCTCATAGCCAGCAAAAATGAAGATAATTGATTGGGCCACAATCTCCAGATCAGTCAGAGCTTAGGGGAGAAAAAAAGACATTTTAGGCTAAGTGGGTCAATGTAGAACATCCAAATTTAGATGAAGAGAAATCTAAATGAAGTCCCAGGTCCCTAGGGCAAAAAACGGAAAAGCAATTTAGAGTCACATGGGGAGTTGTTTTCACACTGATGTCTATCGTACAGAGTCAAAACAGGCAAAATTGTTTTAATCCAGTTTTTCCCAAGGGATGTATGATTGTGCCCCTCATCATGCCTTCCCTACCACCAGCACAGCCGAGTAAATTCCAGAGAAAGCATTTCTATCTAAACATACTCAGTCTTATGGGCATGCCTATCAGATGATCATTAAGATACTTTATCTGTAAGTGAATGTGGGGTAACATTCTTCTCCAGAAAAACAATAAATTATTCTACCTACAATATAGCTTGGAAAATTATGAGAGAGTTCGAAAAACTAAAGCTTAACTGTAGGGAAAGTTAAATAATCTTTTCTCATGTCATGTCTGAGGGAACCGAAGAAGACAATATTGGGCTACTCAAAGTGTGGTTCATGGACCAGCAGAATCAGTAGCATATGAAAGTTTATTAGAAATGTCAAACTCTCAAATCCTCCCCTTGAACTACAGAATCCAAATCTGAAGTTTCACAAGAAGTAGTGTTTTTTGTGTGTAGCCTAGCTTGAAAACATGGATTATATCTTGGAGAGGCATCAGGTAATATAAGATCTAGGATATAGTTCTTCAAAATGGACTATGTCAGAATGTTTAGGAATTACAGAGATAGACATGAAGCCAAGAGTGGTGATTGACCCTATGCTGATGAATGGCTTCAAAGTAACAAAAACCCTTATGTCTATACGTTGTCCGCCCCTCTTGATTATTTTTCTGAGAGAAGCTAAGTACGACCAGGCACTGGTTTGTTTGATCAGGACTGGATTAAGACCTTTAGATACCTGGGGCACTGAAATAAATATGATGCCTGTCCACCCTAGCCATGTAATTCATAAGCAATGAGTGTGAGAAGGGGTCTGCAGAGTTGTGATTTGCTTGTGATGATTTTTGTGAGGCTGCTGTGGTTTAGAACTCTGCTGTCCAATATGATGGGCACTAGTCATATTTGGCTATTTTAACTTAAAATTTAATTAATGAAAATAAAATGTGATTAAAAATTGTTTTTTGGTGGCACTAGTCACATATTCAATGTTCAATAACCACATGTACCTAGTGGTTTCTCTACTGAACAGTGAATCAACAGATTATTTACTTTATCAACAAAAGTTGTATTGGGATAAATGTATAGATAGATAGATAGATAGATTGATAGGAAGAAAGAAGTAGATATAGACATAGATATATTTGCAGTGTGTGCTGAAGTCAGCCCATCTCTTCTCTAGAACTAACCTATTGTTAAATATTTAGGGATTTGTTAGATGGCTGTCAAAACTTGTTAGTTTGAAACCGACTGTGCTTGTTATTTTGCCACCATCATAGTAATAATGGTTTCAGTCAAAACTGTCCATGGATGGTAAAACTAGTAGGTGAAAGGTTGATGAGGAACAGGATATTTACACAGTCTCAGGTTTCCCCCACAAGTTATTTCTTAATTACAAAGGGAAAAATAAAAGTATGGTAGATTAAGCAGGTTAACACACTTTCACCAAGAATTGCCAGGTAAAATCACCATTACAGGACACATAGTAATCTGTCTCCACAAAGTAAGCATGAGAGAAAAAAATCCTAAAGGCAACAAGAGAGAAAGGTTAGACTACCTACCAGGGATGATCCATAAGAATCGCTTCAGACTTATCTGCAGAAACAGTACAAGCCAGAAGGGACTGGAGTCTCATTTTTAATGTTTTTAAAGATAAGCAATTCCAGTCAAGAATTTCTTACCTACCAAGCTAAACTTCTTCAGTGTCAGAGAATTAAAATCCTCCCCAGGCAACCAATCCCTAAGAGAATATGCCACCTCCAGACCAGCCCTTCAGGAGGTGCTTAAGAAAGTGTTGAACACAGAAAAAAAGGAACATTCATATCCAACACAAAAGTACAGGCAAGCACATAGTTAACAGAACATAGTTAACAGAGTATGCACAAAAATGAAAATACACACGTATATAAATACAAAAGTAAAAAGGAAGCAAAACAACCCTGAAGAAACCTATGACAAGGATAAACCCCCTCATTTCAATAATTAAAATTGAAATGAATGGACTGAGTGCACCACTGAAGAGGCATAGAATGGCAAACTGGATAAAGAAACATGATCCAACAGTCTTCGGCCTCCAGGACACTCATTTCACTTCAAAGGACACCTGCAGACTCAAAGTTAAAGGCTGGAAAATGATCTTTCAGCAAATGAAAAACAGAACAGAGCAAGCATAGTTATTCTGATATCAGACAAAACAGTTTTTAAACCATTAAAAGTAAAAAAGGACATCCAAGGACACTACATAATAATAAAAGACTCAATCCACAAGCAAGAAATATGCCTCTGAAACATCTATGCACCCAACACAATAGCACCAGGTTTTATAAAACAATTACCAAGTAGACTAAGAAAGGACATTGATTTACACATACTCAAAGTTGGGGATCTCAATGCCCCACTAACAGCCCTAGACAGATTATCGAGACAAAAAACCCAAGGAACTCTGGAACCTTAACTTAATGTTCAATCAAATGAATTTAATAGACACCTACAGAACATTCCACCCCAAATCTACTGAGTATACATTCTACTCATCAGCACATGGAACATCCTCCAAGATCAATCACATTCTCAGACTTAAATCAAGTGTGAACAAATTTCAAAAGATTGAAATAATACCATGTATCTTCTCAGATCACAGTGGAACAAAAATAAATATCACCACCGGCAAACAAGATCCCCCAAAACACACAAAGACATGGACACTAAACAACATAGTGCTGAATGACTTCTGGGTCAACACAGAAATCAAGACAGAAATAAAAGTATACCTAGAAACAAATGTAAACAAAGATACATCTTATCAGAATCTCTGGGATGTCATGAAATCAGTGTTAAGAGAAAAATTTATAGCCTTGCATGCACACATCTAGAAAATAGACCACAAGTAAACACCCTAATGTCACACCTAAGGGAAATGGAAAGGCAAGATCATCTAAATCCTAACTTCAGTAGAAAAAAACAGATCACTAAGATAAAGTCACAATTGCAGGATATAGAAGACAAAAAGTTCATAGAAAGGATCAACAAGACAAAAAAATGTTTCTTTGAAAGGATAAATAAGATCGACAGACCCCTGGCCAGATTGATTAAAAAAAAAAAGAGAGGGGGAGAAAGTTCAAATAAACACAATTAGAAATGGAAAAGGTGAAGTCACAACTGATCCTGAAGAAATTAAAAAGATTATTAGAGATTACTATGAACATCTATATGCAAATAAACTAGAAAACCTAAAGGAAATGGAGGACTTTCTGCCATCACACAACCTCCCAAGGTTGAAACAAGAAGAAATTGAAACTCTATGAAGACTAACAACAATCCCAGAAATTGACCCAGTCATAATAAACCTCCCCGCCAAAAAAAGCCCTGGACTAGGTGGCTTCCGAGCTTAATTCTACAAGACATACAAAGAGCTAATACTAATCTTATTGAAAGTATTCCAGTCAATCAAGAATGATGGAATTCTCTCCAACTCATTTTATGAAGTTAACGTCATACTGATACCTAAACCAGGCAAAGACCCAATAAGGAAAGATAATTATAGGCCAATCTCCTTGATGAAGACAGACACAAAAATTTTCAGTAAACTTTTAGCAAATCGAATCTAACAACACATCTCAAAGATCAATCACCACGACCAGATAGACTTGATTCCCAGGACTGGTTCAACATTCATGAGACCATAAACATTATTCAGCATATTAACAGATGTAAAACCAAGAACCACATGGTTATATCATTAGATGCCAAAAGAACATCAGACAAAATCCAGCATCCCTTCTTGATAGAAACCTTTAAGCACCTAGGCATAGAAGGAACATTCTTCAAAACAGCAGGAGTCATCTGTGACAAACCCACAGCCAACATTTTGCTCAAAGGGCAGAAACTGGAACCATTTCCCCCTAAGACCTGGAACAATCCAAGGACTCTCACTCCCCCTATTCAACATAGTACTGGAAGTCCTAGCCAGAGCAATCAGGCAAGAGAAGGAAATCAGGGGCATCCAAATAGGATCTTTGCAGATGATATGATTCTATACCTAGAAAATCCTAGGGAGTCTGTCAAAAGCCTCCTCGCACTGATAAATGACTTTGGTAAAGTCTTGGGTTACAAAATAAACATGCAGAAAACATCTGCATTTATACATCAGCAACAAGCAGGTGGAGAACCAAATAAAAGGCATAATACAATTCACAATTACCACAAAAAACCCCGAAATACATTGGCATACACCTAGCCAGAGAAGCGAAAGACTTTTACAATAAGAACTACAAAATGCTGCTCAAAGAAATCAAGGATGACACAAACAAATGGAAAAACATCCCATGATCATGGATTGGAAGAATCAATGTTGTCAAGGCATCCATCCTATCCAAAGCAATCTACGGATTCAAGGCAGTATCCATCAAATTACCAACATCATTTTTCACAGACCTGGAAATGATGATACAGAAACTCATATGGAAACAAAAAAGAGCACGAATAACCCAAACAATCCTCAGCAAAAGGAACAAAGAGGGAGATATCACACTTCTGGACTTTATACTTTATCACAAGGGTACAGTAATCAAGATTGCATGGTATTAGTACTGGAATAGGCACATAGACCAATGGATCAGGATGGAGATTCCAGAAGTAAAAACACAGTCTCTCAATCAACTCAGCTTTGACAAAGCCACCAATAACAATCACTGGGAAAAGGAGACCATAATTAGCGAATGGTGCTGGAAAAACTGGATAATCACACGCTAGAAGAATGAAACCAGATCCCTACTTATCACCATATACAAAAATCAACTCAATATAAATCAAAGACCTAAACTTAAAACCTCAAACTATAAGAATTCCAGAAGAAAACATAGGAAACACTCTTATGCACATTGGAATAGGTAACAAATTCTTGACTAAGTCTCTAAAAGCGAATGCTATAAAAACCAAGATAGACAAGTGGGACTCCATCCAACTGAAAAGCTTTTGCACACAGCAAAAGAAACCTTCGAGAGAGTAAAGAGACAGCCTACAAAATGGGAAAGGATACTTGCAAATTATGCATTGGACAAAGGCCTTACATCCAGGATCTACAAGGAACTCAAATGAAGTGAAAGGCAAAAAATCAACAACTTCATTAAAAGTGGGCAAAGGAAAAATGCTCAGCCTCACTAGTCATCAAATAAAGGCAAATTAAAACTACACTGAGATACTACTTAACTCCAGTCAGGATGGTCATCATCAATAACTCAAAAAACAACAGATGCTGGAGAGGATGCAGGGAAAAGGGAACACCTCTCTACTGGTGGTGGGAGTGTAAACTAATACAACCTCTGTGGAAAACAGTTTGGCGATTCCTAAAAGATCTAAAAATTGACCTTCCATATGACCCCGCAATGCCCCGGCTGGGAATATACCCAGAGCAACTTAAATCACTCTATGAAAAAGATACCTGCACATGTATGTTTATTGCAGCATTGTTTACAATAGCAAAAACATGGAACCAACTGTACTGCCCATCGAAAGAAGACTGGATTAAAAAATGTGGTACATATACACGATGGAATATTACACAGCCATAAAGAGGGACAAAATTATGAACTTCACAGCAACTTTGGATAGACTTAGTCTATAATACTGAGTGATCTATCACAGAAACAAAGAACTGAGTATCACATGTTATCACTTATAAGCGGACCTCGAACAATTATTGTAGTACTATAAGAAAAGGATTGGCAGTAGTGGGAATCTGTCAGGAAAGGGGAGTGCACCTCATTCACAAGAGTACCTGGGTAACGAACATTTGTATACCTAATCCTGAATTGTACCCCGCATCTTTAAAATAAAAAAAAAAATTTTTTAAAGTGGGCAAAGGACATGAACAGACACTTCTCAAAAGATGACTTACAAGCAGCCAACAGACACATGAAGAGATGCTTATCCTCACTAGTCATTAGAGAAATGCAAATTAAGATGACAATGAGATACCCTAACTCTGGTAAGGATGGCTATCATTAATAAGTCAAAGAATGGCAGGTGCTGGGGTGGGTGGGGGGAAAAGGGAACACTTCTACACTGTTGGTGGGAATGCAAGCTAATTTAACCTCTGTGGAAAACAGTGTGGTGATTCCTGAAAGAACTAATAAGTGATCTTTCATACGATTCAGCAATCCCTCTCCTGGGAATATACCCAGAGGAATATAAATTGCTCTACCAAAAAGACACCTGTACAAACATGTTTATTGCAGCATTATTAGCCATAGCAAAAACATGGTATGAAACCTGCTGCTAGTCAAAAGTGGATTGGATAAAGAAAATGTGGTATGTGTACACGATGGAGTATTTCACAGTCATAAAGAAGAACAAAATCATGGACTTTGCAGCAACTTGGATGAAGTTGGAGATCATCATACTAAGTGAACTATCATAGAAACAAAGAACTGAATACTGTGTGTCCTCACTTGTAAATGGGCCCTGAGCACTAGTCATATTACCACAAGGGTGGGATCAGCAGTCTCTGAGCACTGCTCAGGAAGGGAGGGAGATAGGAGAGTAGGGGGCATGTGACAACACAAAGGGCACCTGGTCCATTGCCAGGGGAAGTAAGGGCCAGTTAGAAGCCCATCCTTCACCTGCATGATGCCTACTTATGTAGTTAATCCTCACTTACACCCCAGAACTCTATAATAATAATAATAATAAAAAACCCCCACCATTATTGAGACAATATGCCTTCTGATTTGACGGTAGATGTAAATTTCTAGGAACTGGCATTTGTTCTAATGTGGGTGATCCCCAGACCACTGACTGAGTTCCAGGCATGACATGCTTGCTTAAGGTTGGGCTTCAAACTTGACTATGCCTGTATGCTTCTAGAAAATGCCTCCAGCTATTATTTACAATATTCAAATATGTGTCTTTCTGCAATGTGGCAGAAATTCTGTCTTCATGCAAAACTTTACGAACATTTCCCTGATCCTTCCCTCTGAGTGTCCCCATCTAGCCTATTAAAGCGTTTCTTGGTTACCTTTATGGGACTCCATTTCTTTGGAATTCTGGGAGTCAATCATCAGCTGAAGGAAATCTACTCGGTGCTGGAAACAAGAAGATAAATTTTAATGACAGAAAGTCACTTGTGAAGTTAGAAGTAAACGAGAAATTGAGTCTTCAACCTCTCTTCTGAGAATGTGGCTCCTTTATGTTCAGAAGTCTGAATGGTGTTGCCAGTAAACAAAAACATCTATCTAAAACCTTGGAGAGCAGGATATTTTTCTGCGAGAAACCCAGCTATTGTGTACAACTGCTATTCTTGGTCTTTGCCCTCCCTGATTCTCAGCTTCTCTGGCTTTTGGACACAGCTTTCTGGCCACAGAGTTGCTGGCTCCTTCTCTAGTCATAACTGCTTGCTTAGGAAGAAGTCAAAGACTGTATGTTCCCTGCCCTCATTTAAACCAATATGCACATAGATTAATCTCCTGACATTTTCATAGCTCATCAGCAGCTTTTGTGGGAGCACCTTCAAATGCTCCAACCTCCTAGAACTCTGTGTAAGCTTCAATGACACGTGGGTACCCAGTCTTGCCTCCCTGACCTGAAGCATCCTTGTACTGGCCTCTAGGCCCAATGAACACAAAGATAGGTTAGCCAGCCTTGAAGCTTCAATGCCCAGAGAAGAGCTCTTTACCACTCCATGTCATGAGAGAGCTCAAACTTAACATACATTACACTTTAGCAGGTAGCTTGGTAGGGTCTTCCGTTGGAGAATGTGTAAAATAACAGGCTTTTACTTGAAATGATTCCTTACCAATCTAAGATTTGGGGAAATTATAATACTAGTAAAATGATTTTTAAAAATAGTAATCTTTATTCTTTGACAATTTATTGAAGGGAGGAGAAGTGGTAAAGTTTTATCACAATAATATTTATGCCATGCCATACTAACTATTGTGCCTGATATTAAATTTGAAATGCTATCTCTTGGAATCATTCTTATTTCTCCTTCCCCAACCTCCACCTTCTTCATTTCTACCAAATCATTCTTTTGCTCTCAACATATGTTCTCTATCTTTCTTCAAAAAGATAGAGATAAATGTACACATCCTATGTATATAACTCTTCCAACGTTATAAAAAAAGAACATCTTCACGTAACTACCACCAGACTTTACCTTTTGTTTATCTTTGAGGCGACTTTCTTTCATCTTGTGTACAGAATTTTTAAAAAAATTTATAGCTTCTTTTGGAAACACAGAGATATTTAGTGCTTCAAAAACTGGGGTAAGGAATGGAAAGAGTGCTGTAGGAACAAAAAGAAAACAATTTTGAAAGTGCAAAATTTACCTGGAGCAATTATAATTTTTTATATCAATCAGAAGGGTAAAAGACCAGTGTTTTCAACCAGAAGCCATTCCCTTTATGACCTTTACATGTCTTCCAGGTCAGGGACCAAGGAAGGACACAAATGCACATACAAGCCACCACCGTAGCAGTGAAATCAATGGCCTCTTCTATATCTTTGGAGTGATCAAAGGAAGAGGATAAAATTCCCCAATCTCTTAATTTCATCTATTGGACTAGAATCTTTTAGGGTAACCCAGATCATAGTCTGCTTCTTTAATTATTAGTAGTTGAGCTGTTCAAGAAATAGTCAGGATGGAAATAATGCAGCATATGTCCTTAAACAACCATGACGTAAAATGAGAAATAGGTAGTAGAACGAAAACAGAGACACTCACAAATATGTGGAAATTAAGCAATATACTTCTAAATAATCAATGGGTCAAAGTAGAAACCAAAAAGCAATTAGAAACTGTTGTAAAATGAATAAAAATGAAGACAAAATATACCAAAACTTATGGTATATAGCAAGAATAGTGTTCAGAGGGAAATTTATAGCCGTAAATATCAATTAAAAAAATAAAAAATCTCATATTAATAATCTAAATTTGCATTGTAACACAAAAAATTGAGCAAAATAAATCTAAAGCTAACAGAAGAAAGAAAATAATAAAAACTAAAATATAAACTAATTGAATAGAGATTTAAAAACAATAGAAAAAATCAATGAAACCAAAGCTGGTTCTTGGAAAGTAACAGGTTAGAAATGACAAACCTGTTTTAAAGTTGATAATGGCGATGGTTATACATATCTTTGAATGTACTATAAACCAATGAATTGTGCATTTTAAGTGGGTGAATGATATGGATATGAATCATATCCCAATAGAACAGTTGCTTTAAAAGAGAAAGAGAAAAAGAAATAATAGTCCACATACTTATTGTGAAAAGTAATGGGTCTAAGAAATCAAATTTTAAGAACTTCTTGGTTTGTTCCACAAAGGGATCTTGTGGGTTGTTGAGGGAATCCACGTTCACTCCAAATGATGTGGCAGTGATCACATCCATGCTGTAGGCTCCAAAGAAGCTGAGTAGAAACAGATGAGCAAAAATAAAATCAGCACCTCCTACCACCCTTCTGTTACACAAGCAACAAGAAGTGCATGTAAATCCATATGCTTGAGCAAGACAGGAAAGAGCCATCCACTTTCAAACTCTCTGCTGGATCATCTCCCATCACACTCACTCATGAGATGGTCATCAGGTGCCCGTGATGCTGATCCTGTACTGGCTGTGATGGAGATGCTAAGGCAAGTCAGATCCACCTCTGAGCTCAAAGAGCTCAATCATAGGAAGACAGAGAGCCATAATCAGACAAATTACAGTCGTGCATGCTGAGTCTGGACAGCAGTGGAATAAGTGTCTCTCCCTAGGGGACTCAAGGAAGGTCACATTGGTCTAGGTCTTTCTACTATAGAGTCTATGCCCAGAGCCGATTCCTCCTCAGCATTTCACAGAGCAACCACACCCTGTTCAGAGTGGCCATGAACATCATCTCTCCTGTCTATACTCCCTGTTAGGACTCCTGAGACCAGCTCTTCCCCAACCCCTGGATCTGAGTTTGCTCTGAGGGCAAATTATTTATGCAAAATGTAAGGACAAAGAATGAACCTGGTTAAAGAAATAACAGATCATTCTAAAACTGGTTGGAGTACCCCATAGCTGAGTGGCCACATGTTACCAGTTTGCCCAGGATAGGCTCAGTTTACACCTGCTGTTTCTGCATAACTCAAACATATCCTAGATTAGACAATAAATGATAGGGTCACCCTACTATAACCTTTACAAGATTCTCTCCTTTTTGAAATTGGAGAAAGAAAGGGTGGGAATTCTTAATGTTTTTAAAATTCTTAATGTTCTTGCTACCAACAGGTAGCAAGTGCCTTCCCTTCCCACCATTCCATACCTTCTATCCTCACAACTTTGGTACAATCATGTTTTTTCTTTTAAAGATACAGATTTTGCCTTCCAGAATATCCAAAGAGACAATTTATCAGATAAATACATCTTGGTTCGGGTTCACAGGAAGAAGATCCTCTCCCCACCAGCTGACCTGACTTCTTCTGCAAGCAGGTCTATCTTGGGTGGCCCATTGGAGTTGCAACTCCATACCCGTGATTTTATCTGGTTACTGGAATAGGAATATCAGCTCCATGGCAGTCAGCCCTTGACTCTGTGGCTGTGCTCCAACTTACTCTTTCAAGTTGATGGGTTTGCCTTTCTCTGCGTTCTGCTTCATATTTTTCACCAACACATCTCCATACTGGGCAATGATGGGGAACATCTAAGCATAAAACACAACACATAAACATGTAGTTAAATTGTGCAGGCTAAAGTCCCAGAAAGACATGTCTTTCTCAAGCATGAAACAGTGAATGCCATTTTATAATGAATTTTATAATTTATCTTCTGGACATAAAGATAAAAGATCATTTTTAGGAAACTCAAAGTCGGTGGAATATCCCTTGGAAATAAATTATGATCATACTTTTACCTGTCTCCAAATTTATTTTTAAAGCAGCTAATGAGAAGTCTTCTTATTTTCTTACCTCCTTCAGTTTTCCACTGGTGAAGGTTGGAGACAGCAACGATCGTATTCTCTTCCATTCTTCATTCTCAGATATGGAGATGGCGCTTTTCATGAATCCCACTGGACCAAAAGACTAGAGATCAAAGCAAAAACATTTTGTCTAACATAAGTTTTGGAGATCACTACAGTTGTAGAAAACGTGTTAAACAGGCATCACATATTTAATATATTTAATATTTAGTGACTCTCTACTAACTGACAGGCATAAGTGCTAGATGCTCAGTAAAGATTTATCCCAGATGCCTAGCCTCCTCTGAGTGTGTGAGGGAATACTCAGCCACCTGGTGTAATTTCCAGCCTCTATATCTCAGTCTCCTTGTAAATGCAAATACTCTACATATTAGGGAACCTATTCTTCCAGTGGAATAAACAAGAACAAAACCTAGCAACTCTTCCCGGTTTGTGCAGAGTAGAAAGGGACTAGTGACAGATAAGCAGGTGGCCATAGCTAACTGTACATTTCCTCAGACCAGCTCTGTCTTCACAAACAGCAACAGCATGAACAATTTGAAGAGGGGATGCCTTAGTGTGATTTTTAAAAATAGCGATAAAAGTCTTAAAAGATTAGGAATCTGTTTTGAAGAAACAATGAGATACCCTGAAAGTCGTGTTGTCCTAGTCCTCCCCCACCATCCCCCGGGATAGAAGGAAAAAGAAAGAGAGAATTCTATTTTCTAACTTAGGACTGACATATCAAGTCAACATGATCAAAGCTTTCTTCTGTCTTTCAAAACTGAATTTTGTTTTACAATAAATACTACCAACTCTCATTTGATAGATGAAGTTCTTCTTGTAGCCAAAGTCCCACTCTTGCGTCACTCACTGCATAGTCATGAAAGGAGGAGGTTGAGATTCAAATAACTAAGCTAAGTTTATGGTCCCATAAGAAGTCTGCTGTATGGCTTATATCAGCGACCATGTCAAGTTGATAGCAGTTAAGCCTCTTTTTGTCTTAATTCTCATGGACACCGTGAAGATTATTGAATTCAGGTAAGAAATATTATTTACTATTTAAGAGCAGAAAGATACTGATGATATATGCTTATGATATATTTTACTTCTGAGGATTACAAATAATTTCAGCACCAAATACTAGAATTCAAGACAGAAGTAAGAACTCTCATGGGATGAAATGATTATTTTCAAGGGAAATAAGCTTAAAAGCTGGTCTATGTTTATTATTGTTCTTTTATAGTTGAATAGCCATTTGGTCATGAATTTCCATTTCCAGCATATCCTAACCTAAAACCAACTTCTTGTTTGTGATGCTACTGAGCAAGTGAATTCTTTCATCTATATTTCATGATAGTCTTTAGATAAACAAGCAGAAGTATAATGAAGATGTTATCATTTGCATAAGCATATCCTTGAGTGGTCATCAGACATCTTTATTGTTTTGGGATCTATTTCATGGGCTGCTGAAAGTATGCATAATCATCGCTAGCAATTTATCTTTTTACCTAGCTAAATGGCCCATGTTACATATCAGGAGGATAATGAAGTAAAAAGGCAGTATGTCCAGGGCCCGCCTGCCTAAAATGTGTAGTGAATTACATTGGGAGTAAATTACATTAACTCATTCTCATTATTTAGTTACCATTTAGAAATTTCATCTCACTAGATTGAACAATCTTAGATAGCCTGAAAAAACAGTCATGCACCTTCTTATCAACAGGTTCATACTTCTCGTTTCATGTCAAGATACTAGAGACCAATTCTTATTGCATTAAACCATCTACTTCTAAATGAGAGAATACTCCTCTGCACTAGTGAATAGGGTTAAAGAATTCACTTGGGGTGGGTTTGAGTGGGGTTCTTATCATTGCAACTAAAAAAAAATGACTTTGGAGATGAAAGCAGAAACAAAATGATTATCTTGATACAGCTGTTCTAAAAGCACATTCTATTGAGTTAAGTTATAAATAAATAAATATTCTAACGCTCATTCATGATAAAAACTCAATAAATTAAGGAGCGAGGGAAACTTCTTCAATTTTATAAAGAGAATCTACAAAACAAACAAACAAACACCAAAAAACAAAACCCTTCAGCTAACATCACACATGATGGTGAAAGACTGAATTATTTTCCCCTAAGATCAGGGATAATTCCAAAATATCCACTGTCACCACTCTTGTTCAACATCATATGGAAGTTCTAATGAAATAGGCAAGACAAAAATAAATAAAAAAGATTACAGATTAGAAAGGAAAAAAAAAGTGTCTTTATTTTCAGGTGACACAATGTCACTGTAGAAAATCTCAAAGAATATACAAAACGACCTCTAGAACTAACAGGTGATTTCAGCAAGATAGTAGGATACAAGATCAACACACAAAAATCAACCATATTTCTATGTAACAACAATGAATAACTTAAAACACAATAAAACGTACCATTTCCAATCACACCAATGAAAACGAAATCCTTAAGGGTAACTCTAACAAGACATGTACAGAATTTCTATGCAGAAAATGACAAAATGTTGAGAAAAGGAATTAAAGAAAACGTAAAGAAATGGAGAGGCACGATGTGTTCATGAATCGAAATACTCAACATAGTAAAAATATAGATTTCCCCAAATTTATCTATATGTTTGATTCAATTCCCATAAAAATCTCAGTAGGTTTGATTGTAGATATTGGCTTATATTAAATTTCTATGGAAAGGCAAAGTACCAAGAAGAACTAAGACAACTCTGAAAAAAGTAAAGTGGGAGGAATCATTCTTGTGTTAAGACCTACTTGCTATAGTCAGGACAGTGTAGTATTGATTGGACAATATACACAGTCATCAATGAACTAGACCAAAGAATGAAAAATAGATGCATACCAATATTCCCAACATTTTGACAATGCTACAACAACAATTCAATGGAGGGAGAATAACCTTTCCAAAAATGGTGTTGGAACAATTGGACAGCCATAGGCCTCATACCTTGTACAAAAATGAACACAAAATGAGCCATAGACTTAAATGTAAAGCAAACAACTAAATGACTTTTAGGAAAAAAAACAACATTACAGGAGGACTAGGCAAAGAATTTTCAGACTTGACACCAAAAACACAATCTGTAAAAGGAAATATGAATAGATTGGCTTCCTCAAAAGAAAAAAAAAAAAGCTTGCTCTGATAATAGATCCTGTTAAGAAGAAAAGACATACTGCGTGTTGTGACTATAGAAAACTAACAGGAGGGAGCCTCATGGCATTGAAACAATTCTACATTTTGATTGTACTGATCACAAATCACAGATGTGATACATTTGCATAAAGCTACACACACAAATGAGGACACATAAAACTAGTGAACTCTGAATAAGCTCTGTGAATTGTATCAATGTCAATTCCCTCTTACTATAGAAACAGGAATATACTATATTTATAGTTATACAAGATGCTATCACTGAGGGGAGCAGGATGAAGAGTACATGGAACACCCCCAAACAATTTACAAGCAACTTTCTGTGAATATATAAATATTTCAAAATAAGTATTAAATAAATAAGTAAATCAGTACTTAAATGTCAAAAAATGGTTGCCTACCCTTCGGTTGGTGAAGACAGAATAACATTCTTTCACCAGCACCGTTTTGATTATGTCGGGATCTGTGATGGCCAAAACAGGTTTTCTACCATCATACAACCTGTGTTAAAAAAAACAGCTAATTAAACCTCCCAAGCCTGATTCTGCAGTTGGAGTTACATCCAGGAATCCAACTTTGATCCTGATATTACATAATCTATACCCCTAGATGTACTTTACAAGAAGACTCAGAGCTGAGATTGTCCTCCATGCGATGAGTTATCTCGTCATAGCAACAAGTTTATCCAATGCAAGTTTCTAGAATACTCACCCCCACATTTTCCCGTACTTTTTATAACATTCTTCGTCAAATTGCCAAAAACCCTGGAAAGGGAAACAAAATAAAATTTGATGATCATTTTAAGTGTACTAAACTCAACCTTTAATTGGTGCTGAAAAGGGGGGGGGTTGAATTTGGGGGCTGAATTTGGGGTTGAATTTGAATGAAATCAGGCTTGCTCTCTTTCACTGACAGAGAGAAGGGGAAAGGAGAGAAAACAGAGAAGATATTTGAAATGGAGAATTGAAAGTCACTCTTAATTTTTCCCAAAATTGTAGATACTAAATGACTTACCCTTATCTATGAGTACTAAGTAACTTCTTGAATTTCTGAAGTGTTTTTACTCCTGCATGTGTTGTCTCTAAGATCTCATAATCCTCTTAATTATCACACCTATGTGCACATGAGGTAACTGAGGGCTGAGGAAGATGAGTGAGTGTCTCAAGGGAATGCACATTCTTTTATCTCCTTGTGAGTCATCCTTTCCATTTACCTCATGAGCTCTCTCTAGAATTCTAGCAGAATTAGGAAGTAAAGACACCAGGGACCCCTTTGGCAGATATAAATAAGTCTCAGAAAACAAATGAGTAGGAAAAATAAAGTGGACTCATGCTCCAGTTTCCAGCTAAACACAAAAAGATGGGAAATGTCACCTGCATACATAGGCCACAGCAAAGTAAAACACCTGGTCTGAGTTTCCACTTCTGAAACTTCAAAACAAGTCTTTTGGTTTCTAAGTTTCAGTTGTGATGTTTTAACTCTGCAGAAGAGGGTTACAGAATGTGGATCTTGTGTCACTTCTAATAAACAGTTGATCAGGGAAAGGTGAAGAGAAAATTATTGCTTTTTCAGAAGGAAAAGATATGGACTTATTAGGTGGTAATTAGACACCAAAAACTTGAGTTAGGAGAATTAGAATCTGAGAAACAAGACTTAGGTCTGTGAAAAAGGAAATATGTGCCAGAGAGCAGCCTGCACAAAAACTTTGCTGCTGGCCTTGTGGACACGAATTTGTGACTTTCTGTCCAGGGCCAGGTGGTAGGAGGAGCGTCAGACCAGGTTAGCCACAATGGCTCAGCTAAAATTCACAGTCCGTGTGGCACATATTGCCTTCTGTTCAGTTAAATTAAATTTTTAATAATTTAGTTTAAAAAAATCCCTCTTCTAGTGATTCCGCATAAGTGAGTCTGCCTTTGTGTAAAAACAAACAAACAAAAAAGGTCAACACCGAAAAAACAAAAATAAAAACAAAATTTATTTTGCCGTTAAATATCGGAAGATGACAGACAGCCACCATCTTATCTCAGACATATCCACTCCCTACTCAGACTCACACAAAGAATTTTGATTTTGAAGGCAAAGAAGTAAATCAGAACTTTATTGTTCTGTCCCCAAATCCCAAAAGATTTCATGAGGAGCAGAAGCTAGGGGTACAGCCATGGAAATACCCACAGGGATTTTGCAATCCTAGAGTGAATTCAAGTAGGTGCAAATTACACAATGGTGAATACTTGGGCTCCCTAATAAATGAAGGTTTCAAAGCTGTCCAGGAGGAACAAACAAAAGGTTACTCATGAGCTCTTGCTACCAACGGGAAAGTCTGAATCTGGTGCACAAAGCTAATGAGGCACTACCAGGGCCCCCTTGCCACTTTTCTCTTAATACTAACTATAACTGTACCTTCCTGCTAATTTTGATGGGAGGAAAAACAAAACAAAACATCTTTAGGGGATTCACAAAATCTGAATGTCAAATCCTAAACATAGAGTGCTGATCTGCCCGAGATCTGGGTTGTTCCACTGAGGTAAATCTGAGGCTCTTGCGAGTTAAAAAGAGTCCCAGCGTAAACCTGCAAGTGCTTGGGGTGGAGTCTATACACCATTTCTGAAAGTGTGAAACCTCAGAACTTCCTCTCAACAAGGGGCATTTTTACTGATGGATTAAGCGGGTGTTTGCAACCATAAGAAGCAGACGAGGGAGTTCAAACAACTCACCTTCTGGTAGGACAAAACATTTCCCACAAAAGGCAGAGGTGTGGGCCCAGGAATCCCCAGCTTCTTAAAGAGTCCATATGAATGAATCCCATATCTATAGATGTAAAGAAAAACCAGGTCACAGGAGTTGTGACTTTATAAATATTGGGGCCAGCCAGTTACTGATGGAGGATCTGAAACGGTCAAGAGGAGGAGGTAACATGTTGGCAATAAACATCACAACAACTCCAATAGCAATAGTTACAGTTGCTCCTTATCTCCTTTCCTGTGCCCATGAGACTCTCAAAAGTCACAATGATGAGCTAAAAGTACTGAAATCCTCATGGTTCCAATCCTAGAGTGAATAATTGATAAAGGTCTCCACATGTGAGTGTTCCTGAGAGGTTCAGGCTGGAATTCTTCCAGGGCATTTTATTTGCTTATATGGATTTAGGAAGTTGATTCCTCTATAATTTGAAGATTCTCCTTCTTGTTAAAAAGGGCAAAATTTTTTTTCTTCTGAACTAATGATGACAATTTGCATCACTGCACCCACTCAATTACAGAGGGTCACCGAGAGTGACACTGTCCTTAAATTGTGCTCAGAGGCTTTTATGATTCTCCTTCCCTCTAAACTCTGACCCTGTTTTGGGATTGAGCGCTTCTTAATCAACTTCACAGAGAGGCCTTGGAGGAATCACAGTATTTTAAATTCTTTAGATTGACAACTATGCTTAATGCTTTCACTGACCTCATAGAAATGTGAGTACTTTTCAGCTACACCTAATCTTCATTGTCAGAAGATCTGGTTGATTTAAGCTATAGAGAAAAATGATTGATGTTTCCTGAATGACACTGTGCGGAGGAACCAATGACTAAAGAATCAATTTCCAGGTAGTTCTTCTTCTGGTGAAATCTGGCAATGATCACATAGTGAGTAAAATCCAAGGCATGCTTATTTTTTTCAAGGTCATTTATCACAAAGCAGTCAGTTTCCTGCCTTTGTATATCAGCTGTCTCTGTAGGAAAAACTGTCAATGCTGGTGCTCCCTATGGCAGACCTGCTTGTCACTTATCTTTGATGTGTCATGTACGGACTCCCCCAGTGGGGGTTCTGAATCTCTACAGACCTTCCTACTTTGGTATTATTGAGGGATGGCAGTCTGGAGGAAGAAGAGAAGATGAAAGAAGAGGCCGCCATCTTCCAATTTAACCATGGAGCTTCTAGTCCCACAAGGCTGGCCCCATAGACAAGTGAGGAAAGTATGGCTGAAAAGTATGATGTACATAAGTGATCCACACGCCCAATATATAAATTAAGCTGGAAGAGAGTGGCCTTCTAAAGTTCAGACACCATCCTGTTGATAGCAAAAGATGCATCATGTCACATAACACAAGTAACCATGAAATATTCCAGGCAGTTGAATTGAGACCTTGTATTCTCTTCTTCAGAGATTAGCTTTTAAGGCAGTATACGTTCCAAATAGTGTATATAAATCCTGTGAATCTTATAATATGTGGTAAAGTAAAACCAAGAAACGGCATGAAGGGCCATGTATTTGAAAACCCCAGCAGAGGCAGCTCGGCCAGGCCCTGGTGGGCATTTGGATCGCTCTCCAGAACTGTTGGTAGGAGCGTGTACACCAACTGCCAAAACAGGGTGACCTTGGTTATTCCCACTTCAGTTTCTATCTTTTTTGTTGCAACCATAGCAAAGCAATAAAACTAATCTCTGCTTCTGAACTTTCAACATGTTATATAACCTCTCCAGTAAGGCCAAGCAGTTGAGTTAAGGTGTCAGCAGCATCGGTGCCCAAGGAAAGATCACTAGATCTTTTACTCTCTAAATTCTCATGGTACCATATCAAAGCAGAGGGTGGGCTGAGTGGATTTTTTAGTTTCCCTTAAGCTCCCCTCTGTTTGGTAAAATAATACTACTTTGGGTACAAATGAAGAGACTCGTAAAAGAGCAAATCATTTTAATTCTGTTTACATTGTTTTGGCATACGGGGGCATCGACTACACTACAGCTACTGACTCCTGTGCTGTGTCAGCAACTTCTAAGGGGCAGGAAGTGTTTGCTCAAATCTCTAGTGACAGACACTCTACCAGGCGGACCACACACAGAATGGCACAGATGGTTTCCTTGTCCTAGGGCTTCCTGCAGATGAGATACAAATCTGTCTATACTCCAGTGTGGGCCATGACCCACCAGTATCTCTGGGAGTTCTGCCCTGAGGGGTAGGTAATATCCTCCCCCTTCAACCTGACCGTTACCTGATGCCATTTGTAACATCTCTGTCTCATAGTCTTGCTTACTCAACTGCCCTGACAGATTAGGATAACCTGCTAGGCAAGTATATTTAAAACTAAGGGATTAAAATAACTTGTTAGGCAGGTATATTTGAAAACATTTATGCAATCTAGTCATAGAGATATATGATCGTGCATTGGTCTATTATTCCTGACATCGTTCTAGAAGGGAAGGTTATTTTACAAACATTTGTTGTCACAAATACTAAGTGGACAGCTCTCTTTTCTTACTCAGAAGGAATATATTGGTAATAGTCTAACTCCAAAAAATCTGATTTTAAATAGAATGAATTGAAGCCATATAAATTCATTAAAAAATGTCATCAGGCTGGGCTTTGTGGCTCAGCCTGGAATCCCAGCACTTTGGGAGGCCAAGGCGAGTGGATTGCCTAAGCCAGTGGGTTCAAGACCAGTCTGGGCAACTTGGTGAGACCTCGTCTCTACAATAAATTAAAAATTAGTCAGGCAGGGTAGTGCATGCGTGTAGTCCTGGCTACTTGGAAGGCCGAGGCGGAAGGATCACCAGAGCCCAGCAGGTTGAAGCTGGGGTGGCCATGAGTGGGCCACTACACTACAGCCTGAGCAACAAGAGTGAGACTCCAACTAAAAAAAAAAAAAAATTGATAAAGTCATCAGTTTGAAAATAAGTTGCTGCAATACTCTGAATTCCTGGCCTTTCATTCAAATAACTAAAACAAAAGAAAAAAATCCAAATAACTAAAACCAAGTTTCTATTTTCAGTTTTCAGTTCATTATGATTCCCTAACTCTTAAGAAGTAGAAGTCAAATGTGGAGAGCCTCTACGCCCACACATGGAAAGTAACTCTTCTCTCTCCCTGCTCCAAGATGACAAGTCTACCTTCAGTGAAAGAATTTATCCTCCTGTCCTGGATCTTAAAGGAAAAAATTGTGTAAGATCAAAATTGAATTTTGGGACTCCTGTCTTTCCAAGCCAGCAGATTCACACCAGGGAAGAAATAATATCTATAGTGATGCTAACCTCCCAGAGACTGGAAAGAGAAGGTGAAAAAAAAAAAAAAAAAAAAAGAATACAACTTCAAGATTTCCTAGCATCCTCCTCTGCTGTAAAGGCTCATCGTTTGGAGATAAATCATTCTGCCTATTACAGGGTGGAGGAACTGAGTCCTGGGTGGAAGGGCAGCTCCATGAAAGGGGCACAGAAAAGAGGGAGGAGCCAATGAGAACCTCCTGTGAAGTCTAGGGTGACCTGTGGGACCTTACGTAAATGACGTCCTCGAGTAGACGGGACAGGAGCACAAACCACCAGGTGGTCCATTCCCCTCACACAATCTCTCTACATATCTCTTGCAGTGGATATAGAACCCAGAAGTCAAAGATAATGAGACAAAAGTTGAAAATGCCCTCCTGCCAGCAGAATCCCCAGGGTCTGTGAAGGGGGATGAGGATCCCACTGCACGTGGTGCTCATTTGTTTGTAGTCTGCCTCTTATTCGTAAGTTTAGGTAGGTCCAAACTCATACTCCATCAGCAGATCATCCCCAGTACCAAATGTTATTACTACACGCACCCAGCTACCAAAATAGGGTGAAGATTGGTGAAGATATGCGTGCTTATTCTTCAACAGATCTGCACAAAATCACTCATAACTCCTATGTGCTTTTTTTAGTCCCCAACACTGAAGCTACTTCCCCTTTTCTTCTCTTTTCATCTTCAAAGAGAGTAAGGGAAAGGGAGACTGATTAGCAATCGAAGTCCAAGGATATGGAGGAGTCAAGCCAGGTTAGTTACTCACAGATACAGAAGCACCAGGCTGATAGCCAGGAGAACCCAGGTTTCCATGGCAAAGTCCGGGATGAGGTCCATCGCCGGTTTTCTTCCTCAATGCTCTCCTCTGAGTTGTACTTTCAGTTGTGTGCTGCTGTTTACTGGGCTGTGTGTGTGTGTGTGTGGAGTTTCCCTTCCCTGCCCAAAGATGATTCAGTAAGGCCAGCTGTAATTTTATACGTGGAGAAAGAGGTGGAGCTAGGGCTGCAGCCAGTAGCAGGTTCACCCAAGCTCCACCTGCAGTGACAAAGAGTCACACACACCCTTATGCTGACCTTCTTTGAGTTCATATTCTATGGGAAATTATAAACAACTCAATCAATATTATCAGTAAGTCCAAAGGTTCTGGGTTCTTATCAGAAACTCAGATGAAGTCATTGGTATTGAATCTCCTCTAACCTGCCCTTGTCTCCATGGCTGCCCTGTTCCAAAGTATTTGACATCCACTCAAACAAGCTACACTGACAGACCTTTACCCATGTAGTTTCCTCTGCCTACAGTCTTTTGTGTTCCATAAAAGACATCCGCCCATCCTTCCAAACCCAACTTTAACAGACCCTGCTGTTAAAGTCTCCCATAACCAGCCCTTCTCAAGTAGATATAGCCACTTCTTCCTGTAGTTAACTTTCATCCCCCTCACACAGTTCTATTCTTGTCATCCTCTCTACCGCCATTGTTGGCTTCTATTCCTGTTTCCCTCACCAGAGGTGAGCTCCTTAAGGGCACAATCTGATATTATTCAGTCATGGACCTGGTCACAAGAAGAGCGCTGTATACACAGTGACATCCAGAAAGGCTGATGGAGTTGAGTTGGGCGAGATTGCTGGCCCCTGTATGTCTTTCCCTCTGACTCTTTGGTGACCACTCCATCTTCCTGGATTATCAATACAGTAAGAGCTTTCGGCTGTGCCTCAGTCACTATTTCTGCACTTCCAGACTGAACTGCTTTGATTCTGTTGGCAAAAGAATATCTAAAGTAGAGACAGAGTGTGGGTGAGATGGCACTGATGGCTGTCCTAAACAGTAACAATTTGTACTATTTCCTGTGCACCCCTCAGAGAGTCTTACAGTAGACAACAAATATTAGAAATATCCTTGACCAAAAATGACCCCCCTCTCTCCGGAAAGATTGCATGTCCAGGAACAATGTGTGAGAAAGGAGAGAAGAGGAGAAGAAGCTCAAAATGCTAGAACCCACCACCTTAGGTAACAATGCTGTGTAGCAGAGGTCAGTATAGGCACACACACAGCATTCAGCACCCCTCCAAAATGATCTGAGCCCCTTTTGGGGAGCAGTGAGGTTCAAATAGCTTCCTGCTTTTTAAGGAGTTGAGAATTTCCTAATTGGAAGAAAGTCAGCCCAGGAGCCAGTAGGAATGAAGCCTGTCACAGCAGTTACTGCTACCTGTGAGCTCCCAACACATTTCTGATGGAACACATCCCAGGGCTGGGCTTGTGGAAATTATACCAGCTCATGTTCATCACTCAGGCCCAAGTTCTGTGTCTGCTTGATCTAAGGAATCATGGATCACATGACAAAAAAACCTCGCAGTTCTTACAACTCAACAGAAATAGAAGACCTTTGAGGTATGCTTATGCATTTCCTTCTTTCTTTATTCTTTCATATGCTGAACTCTTCTGCAGAAACTGATATTCACCTCTCACCAACTGTTCCTATTCCTCTGGCATGTAAGTCTCTAGGGCTGCTAGACACTGGCCTGAGTAGGTGGATATCTATATCTGTTCCCTGATTCATGAACAGGTAGATGAATGTCATGCATAGGTGTTGTGTCAGGTGTGGGCAGGAAATCACACAATCCTTTCCTCAGAGGGACACATAAGTGTTCTGGGATAGGGGTGCACATGTGGCATGCCTCTGGAATCTCTGGGATAATGGGGTCCTATAGAGAGATAATTAAGGGGAGAAGTGACAACAGGTTTCAAGCCAACAAAAGGCAGGCAGACATGGGAAGCTGGTATATAATCTCCAGGAAAAGTAGGATAAAAGTCCAGGAAATTTGGATTGGCAGAAATGCCTCCTTTCAGTGGTTTCAACTGGGCACTGTTAAGTAGGGACATGCTGCTACCCCTAGTTTGCAGATGTAGAAACTGAGGCTCAGTAACTGCAAATGACCTCTAAGCAGCTATTGATCACAACAAAATATTCGGGAGATGAAAGGTACTCTCATTCTGGTACACCAGTATCCAACACTTGCTATTCCCTGATAAGGGGCATTATAGGATATGGTGAGATTCAAGGATACAAGAGCAAATTGGTTGAGATTCTGATTCCTATCTCCATGGTGACTCCCATCACTGATCCTTCATGGGTCTTCCAGAACAAAGGACTCCATCTTTTTTAAGCAGGGAGAAAGTTATAAGTTCTGACCGTGTTAATGATATTTCCCTCTCTATCTTCCCAACCTGAGTTGTACACAGAATACATTCAGGCAAGGAAATATTAGGGTGTCATCTGATAACTATTGACAACTTAATTAACACCTAAACCTAAAGAATTTCTCATAATTTTTTGGAACAAAAAAGTATGTTTTCATGTTTCTCTAAAACACATACTTGGTTAATATGATTTTATAACGGAGTCTAAGATGACCATTTACCTGTCCTAGCCTCAGGAACTGTTCTGAGTGGTTGGAATTTACACCAACAGTGATAGAAGTGATAGCTTGGGAGTAAAATGTAGCCAGCACTGTATCCTAACAAATATAAATAGTTTTGCTCTTCAAGGGGAAACAATAGAAGGTGTATTGTCACGCCACTTATTTTCATAGAAGGTAACACATTCAAACATGAAGATACTTGCCTACAAAGAGTTGTACTGAATGTGTCAAGGAAGATACTATGTTTCAGAAGAACACCCAACCACTCAGTGTCGCTCATCTACTTATTCCTGAATTAAAGTATTCAGTATGTATTTTTAAAGCTTTGTTCTAAATGCTTAGGGCACAAGGTTGACTAAGACCTAGACATTATTTTGTTTGATGATAAAGACAAATAAACAGATACTTGCAGTATAGCCTAGGAAAATTAATCATAAAGTATGAGTAATACAGTGTCCTTATCAACGCTGAGTGATTTATCTTCTTTCTCGTTCTCATCAACATTGGATAAAAGTTAAGTCTCAAAGAACATCCAGAGAATCATTAGTCTCAGATATCAGTATCAGTGGACAGTTTGTCCAGGGACTCAGTGATGCAGATAAACCCTATCACTCTAATATTTTATTCTTTTTACATTGTTAGCCTAAGTGCTACCTCTTTTGAGAAGCCTATCCTGTCTTTTACTGGCCAAGCGAATTGCTGCTCATGGGATGGGGATGCAGCAAGGTTTTGGAGTGATTTGTGTATTAGGTTCACATTTCACGATCTTGAAGATGTTTTGTTTTTAAAAAAGGAAAGATTCGCGCCTTTGGGAGGCTGAGGTGAGTGGATTGCCTGAGCCCAAGGGTTTGCGACCCGCCTGGCCAACTTGGCGAGACCTCATCTCTACAATAAATCAAAAAATTAGCCGGGTGTGGTAGCACGCACCTGTAGTTCCAGCTACTTGGAAGGCTGAGGTAGAAGGATCGCCGGAGCCCAGCAGGTCGAGTCTGCGGTGGCCAGGAGCGGCCACTACACTCCAGTCTGGGTGACGGAGTGAGACTCCGACTCAAAAAAAAAAAAAAAAAAAAAAAAGGAAAGATTATTTGTAGCTCAGCTCTCAAGTCCCTATTCTTCTCAGTAGGGCAAAACTTGATCTCACCAATTTAGGGTAACCAGGTGGTCTCTACATTTTGGTGACAGAAGGAGAGGAACAGACAATTCTTCTTGGCCTCATGACTGGCTGTGGTAGTGAGGAGAGTGGCAGCTCTATGGACATTCTTACCTGGTGTCTGAGAAGGTGGACGCCTCACCTCAACGTCATTGCATCTTGGTTGGGCTGTTTGCCGCTGTGTTCACAGCATGTGGCAAGCACCAAATAGAAAAGAGTCAGAATCCTCACCCTCATGAAACTTACATTCAATGGGAGAAAGAGATACTAAACTAATACCTACACGAATAAATGTTGAAATGCAAATTGGGATGAATGCTATGAAGTAAAAAACTCTACTTAAGCTTCCAGCAGTATTAGGCATGGTTGATTCTTTTTTCTTTCCTTAAATTCTATCTTCCTTTGAGGAAAATTCCATGAAGGTAATTGACCAGAATTGGCATGAGGACCAACGTTTTCCTTTCCTAACCAGAAGACCTCTTTAAAATTGTCTGCCTCCCTAGACCTCTGTGTCCTTCTAGGATTTTCTAAAACATCCCCTCTTCTTTATTTTCCTCTTATACATCATTTAGGGTCCACCAGGTCTTCCAGCCCAGTCACGAACCAAGAGCTTCTGTGGGCAGGAGGAAGATGGAAAAGAATGGGCCTGGGAGAAGACGATGACCCATTTAGGCCCTGAGTTCTAAATTCTGGAGTTATTTCTCAACTTGAGTTGCAGAGAAATGGTCTCTCTCTCTCTGTCTCTCTCTCTCTCTCTCACACACACACACTTACACTCACACACAGATTACCTGATACATATCATTCTAACTACTTCCCTTGCATTAACTGATTCAATTTGTCCAACAATCCTATGACTTAGGTATTGTTATGCTCTCTGTTTCACAGATGAGCAAATCAAGTGATAGAAAGATGAACGGACCCATCCAAAGTTACATCACTAATTACTAACAGAGTCAGGATTCGAATTTAAATTGTCTAAGTTTAGAGCTCACGATCTTAATCTTTTAACACAAGCCCAGCTTTGCCTGAGGTTACATGGAGTCAGTGGGGGGACCAGCACTACAGCCCAGGCCTCCTGATGGGTAGTGCCAGAGCTTTGTCCCCTACACAGATGAGGCGAAACCCCTTAGCAAACCCACCAATGAGGGCTGGGGTGAGACAGGGGAATGTCCTTTCTGCCCTCCCTTCCTTGAAGTACAAGTGCTTCTGTAGACTTTAGGGCAAAGGGAAGAGGAGGAGGATTCAGTCATGACTGTTCATGTTCTACTTCATTCCAGAGTGTCTATTTCCTGCTAAACTAACCACTACATACTCAGTGATCTACCACAGAAACAAAGAACAGAGTACCATATGTTCTCACTCATAAGCGAACAGGGATTGGCA